AGTGAGAAAAGGTGATGGATGAGTGGTGGTGAGAGAAAAAGAAGGTCAGATGATGAAGGGGAGAGAGGGAAAAGGGAGTGGGAGAGTGGATTAGGGATGAGAGAGGTGATACCCAGCTCTTGGGTAACCAAGAGCATACAAGTTCACGAAGATTCACAAGATCTTGGCCTTCACACACCCCTTGGGAGAAGGGGTCTTCAAGGTGGTGATGAACTGCTGCTGCACATTATCTGGGGTTGGCTGAGATCTTGATCAGCCACCCAGTTCCACTGTAGTGCAGCCCCCTAGCCAGGGGGGTCTTCAAAAAAAAAAAAAATCCTCAGTAAACTGCCACGTGGCACTTTTGGAGATGGCCACAGGTCAAGAGAGGAGATGTAGAGGGCAAAAACTCTTTTGCCAATGACTTTTCACCTGCTGGGTGAAATTTGGCAAAAGAGGTCTTGTTGGAAAGTTTTTTGAAAGCCGCTTCCAACGAGATAAGGCGCAGCATCAGCCACTGCCTAGAGTAATAGCGCTCGTTGAAAAAACGAGTGCGGGTGGTTTTTTGGAGCTTTTAAAAAAATCGCGATCTTTGAAAGATCATAGCTCCTCAAGCACTGCACAAAATTAGGCGATCTATAGCTTGTTGGAAGCGGCTCGTCGAGAAATTTCCAACAAGATAAAGATCAATAAATTTGGACCACCACTGCAGAAGTTACAATCGAAAGAGTGCACCGGTGTCATTACCAAAGAAAAGTGGCGAGCGTTTTTTTTTTTTTTTTTTTTTTTTTTGCTCTAGCTACGGGGCAACTGATAGGTGGGGTGGGTGGGGGAGAGGACCAGGGAGGAAAGCCTGCTCTGATACCAGTGTGACGGACCCGCCGGGATGGCGGTGCGTCAGGATCAAAACGAAGGGATGAGGATGGGGGAGATGGAGATGGAGCTGGAAGGGACAGCGCAGCTCCAACGCAGACTCAACACGCACGTACTCCAATCTGTGCAAATGAAGAATGCCACGAAACAGACTACAGCTGGGGTATACCCCCAGCGGACTGACTGGACTGGACTGGACTGGACTGGTACCGACAGTGGTACCGGGCAGGACTGGACTGGACTGAATAACCGCACGGCCTGTGGGGTCAGGCCACGGCCTGGTCCCACAGGCTGGACTAGCAAATAGCCAAATAGGCCCTGGCTGTGGGCCAGGGAAGATGAAGGCCCGCTGCAGTGACCATCGTTCTTCATAATTTACTGAAGGAATGAATACTCAAGTGAGGGGCCGATTCCGTAGGTAGAGGGTTTGAAATATCATCTTAAAGTAAACCAGCATCGGTTAAATCATAAGTTGTTTCTATGTGAATTCAAACCGATTCATATGAATAATTTATGGTCGTAAGAACTGAGTCAGGTAGTTGGTTGGTTGAATGTTTATAAAAAAATGTTTTTTTGATTGCTTAAGTCACCACTACCTCGCCGACATAAATTAGGGGGGACCGGTAGCATAGGTCCATGAGGGTTACCTATAACATAGTGGGGGAAACTAGCGGAGTGACAAAATTGAGAAATGCACTCAATTTCCCCGCTATTTATTTTGCTGTTAAAACTATTTTTTTTAATTTTTAAAATATTTTTCCTATAACGATCGCGATAAAATCTACGGACCCTTGAATTTTAAGAGTTGCCAGTCATCCTTCTGTGCGCAAAAAATCGTGAAAGTTGGGGTACTTTTTCCCATTGTCCCATACGTGGTAGAGTGGCAAGAATGGGAAATGCGGCGAAACGTTTATTTTATGGTCTTTTTTTTTTCTGCAAAGCTCACAGCCTAATCATGATCTCAAATTTTCAGATTTTTTCGTTAATTCTTCTGAGCGTGAAAAATCGTCAAAGTTCACGTTTGAAAATTTTCGGAGCGGACCCGTCTGCGTCTGCTAGTCGCCGCCTCCCTAAGAACCCGGTCTATAAGGCCAGGAAAAATGAACTTAGGCCGGTGGGGGAAGTGGTGATTTAATGTGTTAGAGCTTTAACATTGCAAGGAGGAGCTTAAGTGTTCGATTTTATTATCCCTCAACCTCCCCTGCGTTGTGGAGCGTAGCGGTTACGCACTTATCACAAAAGGAAACAAAACCCTCTCGCCAACATTATGCAAAAGTTTAGGAAAAAACTTAGAACAACCTATTTCTTTGTCGTCCGATATGAATGGTGGAGGTTTTTCTCTCTTGTTGAAGTGTCAATTGTACTACAATGATCGTTTGTGATAAGACATCTTATCGCGAGGCATAACGTCTCATTATGTCACCATCCTTAGGGGCATATCTGCATCGAGCTATCTATCCATATGCGGCAGTTTTTTCCTATAATTGTAGAGGTAGGTAAGTCTAGGCCGTTTACTCCGAGTTAGTTGTTGCAATATAGGTATATGTGGTTAAAACCCAGGTCGAACTCAAATGTTGGTTGTTTCACAGAGAATAGACCTCCTCATTGCAAAGTTAATGTCGATCGATAATGATTGTCTCAACCAAGCGTGAAAGCATAAATGATCTTAGTCCCTATGCATAACACAAATTTCAAGGAGAGAGTCAATATAACAATCAAGCAATTAGACATCATTAAAAGTTAAAAAATTGTAATATCAAACTGAAAACTTTATTATAATTAACCATCATTCCGTGATTAAAAAAATAAATTTATAATTAAAATTATGATTAAATCTTTTTTTTTATTATTTTTTTTTTAATTTTTTTCATTTAGAAAACTCAATTTAAAAAATAAGGTTTCCTTTCTTATTTGAATTACATGTTCAAGATTGAATTAAAGTTCAGACAAGTTTATGAGAGACATTAATTATACAATTTATACTATTATTTTAAGCTATAAGAACCTTGTTGTAGTACAATGAATTTTTTATCAAACCACTACCACCTCGCTCACTTTTGAAGAAAATGTGAAAACAGGTAGTTTTCCTATTGTTTTCGAATTTTTTGGGGGCGAACGAGGTTTCGCTTTATTCTTTTGAGCCCGTTCAAAAAAAAAAAAAAAAACACTACGTCGGGGTGTGCTCACACCAAAACTCACAACACCGTATCTATCTACCACAGTAGTCAGTTTCACGTTGTCATTGTTTTTTTATTTTTTTCGTAGCCTCTCTTGGAGGCACAACACAATGCATGGGTTGTAAACACTCTGTGGAGGAAGGCATTCTCACACTACCACTTTGCAGAATGTATGAACACATATTCCCGCCGTAATGTTTTTTTTTTTTTTTTGCTTTCTTTTGTGAACATGAGACCGTCGTTGTAATGCCCTCACTAAGGGCATACTCACACAACTACTTTTGGATAGGTATCTACCTCGTATTTTATCTAAAAGGGTTATTCATTTTTCTCTTTTCATTTTATTGTGGATGTGAACACGTCGATGTAATATCGTTTTTTTTTTTTTTTTAAGTCTGATTTTTTTTTTAATAAAAAAAATAAAACAGAACTCGAACTCGACAAAACTCGGTGTATATTAAAAATCAGGATCAACAAAAACAGACTTAAAGGTAATGATGGTTTAAGAGAAATCATG